CTTCCTCTCAGCCCCTCCCCAGCCAGAAGAGCCTCACCTGCTTGGTGAAGACAATGCGGCCGTCCAGGAAGGGAGGCACCAGGTTATGCACCATCAGATGCACCTTGGCTGCATTGTCCTCCTCGAAGTCTTCATCTACCTCCAGTCGATGGACCACTCCACTGGTGAGCATCCGGTTAGTTTCCCAGCGTTCGTTGTCCTGCAGGGCCACAAAGGGAAACCATACTCAGGCTACAGCTGGAAGGTCATCCAGGAAGGTCACCGTGTAAGTTCACTCACTCAAGTCCCAAGAAGAAGATGGTGGGTGGGTACGAGATGTCACAGGTCTTTCGATCCTACAACCCCTTCCAGAAATTACCTGCAGTAGTCTAGTCCCTGAAACAGCACCTGGCTCAAGATCAAAGTCTCCATATAGAGAGACAAATCGTGACCGCCCACTGTTCAGTTCTTACAACTGAAAAGCCCACAGACCACCGAGCCAGGACCCACTCTAGACGCGAGTAGGGAACAGCACCCCTTGAGAAAGTACTAGAAAAAGCCAGAAGCTGGGCTCTTCCTCAGCTACTGCCAAGTCTGTACTGAGCCTGCCCCCTCTGCTTGCCTGTCTACACACCGTGCTGTCACTCTCTGTGCCCCGCTACCCAGCTCCTCCACTTGCCACTGCAGGCGGCCTCACCTCATTGATCTGCCTCCGCTGGGCCGAAATGCGCTTCTGCTTCTGCTTGTGCAGATGCTGTTCCCGCCGCCTCACGTAGTCCTCGGATGAGTAGGCCAGGGGATTGTGGAACTCATCGTAGCCCTCATCCATCATGTACCAGTCCCGGTCAGCTTGCTGCAGGGCATGACACAGGCTTGAGACAGAGGCACCGCACAAGGGGCAAGGGACGTGGACGTGAAAGCCCTGCCCAGGGGAGGTGGAGCTGTGTGGTAGGAGACTGTTCGTGCCCTGGAACACCCTGGGCTGCAGGGTGGGAGGGCGTCCAAAGGGACAACAGTGGGGCAGCCCATTCAGAGCCACCTACCACACAGGGGCACCAACACCTGACAAGAAAAGCCAGGTCTGCCTACAGTGCAAGGTAAGCCAGCTCCCTGTGGAGCTGGTGCCTCTGGAAAGGTCCCAAGGCTTCCAGACTAAACGACTCGGTCAACTTGCCCAGAACCAGTAGTGTCACTGCCAGCTCTTGTGTCCTAACCTAGCGGTTCTCAACCTGGAGGTTGTGATCCCTTTTGGGGTCGAATTACCCTTTTACAGGGGTCACCTGATTCATAACAGTAGCAAAATGACAGTGATGAAGTAGCAACGAAAATAATTTTATGGTTGGGGTCACCACAACATGAGGAACTGTACGAAAGGGTTGAGGCATTAGGAAGGTTGAGAATCACTGCCCTAACCCCTCACTCCCCACCATCTCTTAGGCAGCCACTCAAGGTCATTAAGCTTTTACCCTCTGGTCATCCTCCCACTGCTGCCGCTCCTCTTCTGTGTCAAACGAAATTCCTTCCTCACCAACCTCACGCCTTCCTGAAGGAGAATAGGTAGCAGATCAGCCCACACGAGTCCAGCTTATCCCCTGTGGCCAACCCCAGACCTGCATCAGCCACAGAGCCCAGCAGAACAAGCTGTCCTGCCTACTGGCCCCTCTTCCCTCGGAGAGTTACCTCGGCCCCTGGACAGCCGCGGCGTGGACCCCAGGTGTCTTCTGTCATCGGCCCACTCGTTGAATTTGTAAGACGGGGTTGGCAGAGGTGTGTCATCAGAGTACTTACTCCTCACAGACCTGGGAAGAGCATCGTCAGGATCACGAGCCAGTCACTAAAATGAGGCGGGGGGGCCCCAGCCCCAAGTGCTCCCCCATCCCAGATCCCTTGCCCCCCCACCCAGAGAGATGGGGCTGCTCCACCGGGGAAAATCACCTATCTCGCTCTCGAGTGGAAGGCCGGTGGCTCCTCTCAGAGTCCCGACAGGAAGGCGATGGGGAGGGTGACTCCCACTGCGAGCGCCTCGAGCTGCCGTAGCCACTGTCCTCTTCCTCCCAGGTGGACCTTGATGGAGTGGCAGCATCTGGGGCCACAGGCAACAGTCCATTTACCCAAGACATGGCATGGGGGCCAATCGGCCAAACAGCAGTTCCCCCTGATCGTTTCTTTCACTGTTTATAAACCCTGCACCGCTTTCTAGTGGACAGGATGGTTCTGACAGTTTAAGTTTTCTGATGTTAATGGACCAGTTTTCATTTTGTTTATAACCATGTTTGAAGGATTGTTCGACTTGGTCCTGTAAATACAAGGGGGCTTCAAAAAGCTCATGTAAAAGCGGAATCAAAGAACAAGGGTATTTTCCCCATGAACTTTATGAAACCCTCTCGTATATTCCTTTAACACACACATGATTCCTTTTAATAACTCCTCTCCTGGTCCACAACCCCCTTCTCTTTACTGCCATTTGGAACCTGAGTTGTTCAGGAAATAGGCCTATCTCCCTACACACAGTAGATGCATGTGGCGAGGGGCCCGGCCTACTCCCACCGACTGGGACTCGACTATTCAGAGAGGACCACTGCCCACAATGGCCCCACTGAGGAGGGGAGTCGTGCTCTCTACCTTCGGGGACCTCCACCGGCCAGCGTAGGAAATGGCGAATCCTACCTTTGGGTCGATGGCGGGGGCTCTCAGGTTCATTCCGTCTGCTGCTGCGCTCGGAGCCTCCATCTCGCTCCGATCTGCTGCTGTGCCGACTTCTGTCCCGCTCATCTGAGAAGAGTCGCCCCGCAACACTCAGAAACCTGTGCCTGCCCTAACTCACAGCCGTCCCCATCCTCGCTACCTCTCACTCACAGGTGCAACAGGCACCGCTGTTTACCATCCAAGGAACTCCAAACTCACACTGCCCCTTCTCTCAAGAGGAAAAAATGTGTTACTGGCTAGAAAGATTCAAGCTTGCAGGAACAGTTATTTCCCGGCAAGATTTCAAAAGTGATTGTTAGAAGCCTATAGTTAAGAGTTTTTTTGTTTTCTTTGGCTTTTGTGTTGGTTACACGTCTACAATACTGGATACCGAGCAAAGCCAGCATTCCGCCCGCCAGGCTTTGCTCCAGGGCACTGTCCTGTCTCTATCACCAATAGTGCTGGAAACCCTGGGACTCTTCTATCTCTTGCCCAGTATCCCCTTTACCAGAATCCCTCGTGGTAACACAAGAGCAACACACCCGAAGAAAACCTTCCTCCACCGGAGAGGGCCAGCGTCCACTGGCACGAGGAACACAAAGAGCAGTGCCAGGCGGTTTACCTCTCTCTCTCTTCCGGTCGTAGTCTCGGTCCCGTGGTTTCTCTTTCTTCCGGTCCTTCTCCTCTTTGGATGAGGCGTAGACACCGTGCTCCCGCCGCTCCCGCTCTCTCTGCCGACTGCGTTCCCAGAACTCTTCGCTCACACCACCAGGATGGGATGGTGTCTCTACTCGGGCAGAGCGATAATGTCTGAAAGGTGAGGGGAGCTGATCAAGGACCACGGGAGAAACGGGTTGCCCCAAGAGAAGTTCCTGCCAGGCCCAAACAAGGACTCTGCCCTTTGCCCCTTATCTCCTGGCCCTGTGGGCTTGCCTATGGCAACGACCCACCACAACTCTAGCCACTGTCATTTACTCTCTAGCAGTCACCTCTGTACTCCCTCCCCGCAGAGAAGATACCATGCCCACCTACTCTCCCAGGATCACAGAGTCAGAGCAAAAGTATACAGCTTTCAACGGCCACCAAAAAAGCAGCAGCAGCTGAGGCTTTCTGTTCTGATTGCCGCTTTCACTCCCTTTGGGCAACCTTCCCTGAGGCCTTTACCGGTCTTTCCGACTACTTCGGTCGGACTGGTCACTGTCCTCCTCTTCCGAATCCCTCTGGTCGTCCTTGCCCTCTTCCCAGTCCTTGTAAGAAGAGATTCTGGACTTCTTCTTGTCCTCTCCATCATCCTTCTCCTCTCGCTCCCTCCGTTTCAGGGTGGCCAGCAAGTCCAGGCCCAGCAGTGAGGGGCGGGGAGCAGGGGCCTTGAAGACATGCTGCTCACTAGCTGCACTCTTGGTCTTGCAGATAAGGCCGCCAACCTGAGAGTCCGCATCAGTGCCTTCTAATCGGTGGATGGAAGCGTCCTCGCTGGCGTCCTCCATCACAGGCTCTGAGGTTCCTCTGGAAAGAGGGCAAACCATTTGGTACCAGACAGAGGGGAGGAGGCCAGGTTCGGCAATACCCCACAATACCTCCAGCTACAGAACACTTAGGGATTTACTTTTCTTTTCCCTCCCCTGCAATAAGACCAGGGTGGCTTTAGCTAGCTTTTGCCAAGAACTTTCACAAGTCGCTGATGATCCCGAGACCCCCTGTCATGAACTGAACTGTGTCCCCAGAATTGAAATGTATCAACTTTAGTGGGTCATGATTCTCAATGGCAGTTATATAATGATAGACTCACACCATGCTGAGCTCATCCCATAATAGGGGCTGCCAATCAACTGTAAGAGGCTTAGAGCAGATGCAGCACCCTTAACCCAGGTCACAGTCAACAAGAAAGGAGTCTCCCTGGGGTGTGGCCTGCATGACGTTTTTATCTTACAAAAGATCAAAGGAGAGCACCACCCAGACCAGAAAGAAGAGCCACAGAGCAGCGCATCCCTGTGAACCAAGGGCTTCTGCCAGAGTCAAGAAAGGAAAAGCCTATCCAAGAGCTGGCACCCC